ATGGTAGACTAGGGCATGTTAATATTGCTTCTATTAAAAGACTTAGAAAAATGGAATTAATTCCGGCAGTTAATGTTGATAATTTTTCTAAGTGTCCTGTTTGTGTAGAAGCAAAACATACCAAAAAGCCTTTTAAGAATGTAACTAGTAGAAAAACAGAATTGCTTGAACTAGCACATTCAGACTTAGCAGATTTCAAAAACACTGTTAGTAAAGGTGGAAAGAATACTACATCACCTTTGTAGATGACTTTTCTAGATACACTAAGGTATATCTTCTTAAGTCAAAAGATGAAGCTGAAAGCATGTGTTTTAAATACAAGGCAGAAGTAGAGAATCAATTAGATAGAAAAATCAAGAGACTTAGGTCTGACAGGGGTGGTGAATATAGTACTAATACTCTAAAAGCCTTTTGTGAGGAAAATTGTATTATACATGAGATTAGTGCTCCCTATACTCCCCAACAAAATGGTGTAGCCGAACGGAAAAATAGAACCCTTAAGGAAATGATGAATTCTATGCTTTTGAGTTCGGGTTTATCTGATAATATGTGGGGGGAAGCTGTTTTATCTGCATGCTATGTTCTTAATAAAGTCCCTCATAAGAAGTTAGATAAAACTCCATATGAGTTATGGAAAGGGTTTGCCCCTAACTTAAAATTTTTGAAAGTGTGGGGGTGTTTGGCTAAGGTTGGTCTACCTGATTTTAAATAAGTAACTGTTGGACCCAAGACTTTTAATGCTATTTTCATTGGTTATGCTCAAAATAGTGCTGCATATAGATTTATGTCTTTGAATGATAGTTCTATTTGCGAATCTAGAGATGCAGAATTTTTTGAGCATGTTTTCCCATTGAAAAATAATGTGCCTAGTGATGTGATTAATAATGCTTCTACATTTATGCATGTTAATTCTCATATTGTGCCTTCTTCTAGTGCTACTGCTAATGAGCATGAAAATAACCTTAGAAGAAGCAAGAGGCGTAAAATTGAAGCTAGCTTTGGTCCTGACTTTATTACTACTTTCTTGACTGAAAATATTGATCTTGATGTTTTGAGTGATGAATTAGTATCAATCTATTTAATAGAAGAAGACCCTAAGACATATAGTGAAGCAATGAGGTCAATAGATGCTAGCTTTTGGAAAGAGGCCATTAAAAGTGAATTAGACTCTATAGTTTCTAATCATACTTGGGACTTGTCTGATTTGCCTAAAGGTTGTAAACCCATAAGTAGCAAGTGGGTATTTAAGAAGAAGTTGAGACCTGACGGTACAATTGAGAAATATAAGGCTAGACTTGTTATTAGAGGTTTTAATCAAAAGAAAGACATTGATTACTTTGACACTTATTCTCCTGTGACTAAGATAGCGACTATTAGAACTCTAGTTGCTGTAGCCGCTATTCATAATTTGGTAATACATCAAATGGATGTTAAAACAGCTTTCCTAAATGGTGATTTAGAGGAAGAGATCTATATGTCTCAACTTGAGGGATTTATGATCCAAGGACAGGAGAATAAAGTATGCAAATTGAGAAAGTCTTTGTATGGTCTAAAGAAGGCACCTAAGCAATGGTATGAAAAGTTTAGCACATTAGTGGATAATGGTTTTGTTGTTAATGCATCTGATACTTGTGTTTATTTCAAGATGATAGGATCAGATTGTGTTATTATATGTTTGTATGTGGATGACATGTTAATCTTTGTCCCTAATGTGAATGTTGTTAATGAGACTAAGAATTTTTTGTCTTCTAAATTTGAAATGAAAGACCTTGGAGAAGCAAATGTGATTTTAGGGGTTAAAATCAAAAGAACTTCTAATGGTTTTTCATTGTCTCAGTCTCATTATATTGAGAAAATATTGAAAAGGTTTAATTGTTTTGATGTAGCACCTGTGAGAACTCCTTATGATCCTAGCATACACTTGAAAAAGAATAAGGAATCTAGTATTTCTCAAACTGAGTATGCTAAGATAATTAGTAGTGTAATGTTTCTCATGAATTATACACGACCTGATATTGCTTATGCTGTTAGTAGATTGAGTAGATATACTCACAACCCTAGTAGTGAACACTGGAATGCTCTTCATCGTTTGCTAAGATATTTGAGAGGTACTATGGATTGGTGTTTGCATTTTAATAAATTTCCTGCTGTTTTAGAAGGATTTTGTGATGCAAACTGGGTTACTGACAATGATGAAGTTATCTCCACTAGTGGCTATGTGTTCACTTTGGGTGCAGGTGCTATTTCATGGAAGTCTTCAAAACAGACTTGTATAGCACGTTCTACTATGGAGTCTGAATTCATTGCTCTTGAGTTGGCAGGGCAAGAAGCTGAGTGGTTGAGAAACTTATTGGCAGACGTGCCTTTGTGGGGAAGACAAACTTCACTAGTTTCTCTACATTGTGACTCACAGGCAGCAATTGGAATTGCGAAAAATAGTGTGTACAATGGAAAAAGAAGACATATCCGCATTAGGCATGGTGCGGTAAAACAGTTGTTGAAACATGGTGTTATTTCCTTGGAATATGTAAGATCTGAAAGAAATTTGGCGGATCCTTTAACCAAGGGTTTGGCAAGGAGAGTTATCCTTGAAACGTCAAAGGGGATGGGGCTAAAGCCCATGGATTGAGGAAGTATGGTAGATACCCGTTTGTGGTCAAACGAAGCCATATGAGACCTCAATATGCACTACATTTCTTTTATCCCTATGGCGTGTGGTAGTGCTTTATAAGGTTGAGCTTATTGTGCTCTTAATGATTCCATAGCCTTAAGGTAGTCTATGTGTAGATAGACTTGATGGAATCACCTACGTGAGTGTAAAGGTGCGGTCGCCTTTTATCAAAGACTTGGGATGCCTTTCTAGAGCACTCATGAGACCCAAGGTATGTGCATGACCATAAAAGCACTTTGTTAGTATCGCAGAATTTGCATAAAATTAAGGATATAGTATGTGTTGTGGGGGTTTCAGCTAATGTCCACTCAGTTCAAGAGTACTTCACTTTGTGGATGTTAGTTGTTGCCTCATTTCACTACGTGTCAATTCAAATCGAAAGATATTGACACTTAAGTACATGTTCCTTCTTTTGCCCAGAATTGTTCTATTTTTGTCTTTGCATTAGTGGGCATAATGCAAAATCAAAAATTTCTTTTTGAAATTTCATTTACAACCAATAGCCATGAGTTTTTTATTTTTTAAATGTCCTATCTATTTTCAAGTGGCCTCTTGCATGAAACCTTAAAGCCAAGTGTTGAATGGCTTTGACAAATGGCTATGCAAATCTACCATATATCTTTATGCATGGAAGACAAGATACACTTGTCAATATTGGAGCCAAATGTCTTCATGCATAGAAGACAAGATACACTTGTCAATATCGGAGCCAAGTGGACTAACATAATGGGACAAGTGTCAAAAGTCTCTCGACACTTGTCATACATGCAACCTCCTTAATTTCCTATAAATAGGTTATGAATTAGCCATCATAATCACTCAATTCTCAGCCAAGAATACATCTAGCTAATCATTCCTTTCTTCTTAGTCTTCTTTGTGAATTATCCAACACATAAAATACCTTCATCTTCTCTTCTTCCTGGGCAACTGTTTTGTGCAAATTCTAAACGTCCAGCCACGAGTGCACGTGTTTGGAGGTGCAGTGGAACCTTGGGGAGCGACCGGCCTTAACGATTTGCACCCAGTCGAGCAGAAATCGCTTTCAAGGCAGTGGCTTGCCACGACACAGTATTTTTGATAAGTTGTAGTCTCCTTTCCTTGTTGTTCTTAGTCAATATTATCTACTGATTTTCCTTACAATAGTAAGTTTCAACATTTCGTGATTGGTTTGGAACTCAAAGTATCAGTCAGTTCTTTTAAAAATACGGGCACTACATGCTTCTCTATCCACCTAATCAGATCGTACTCTTTAACTTTTGTTTAAAATAACTAAGTGGATGCCATAAGCGATGGCGATAATATTCATTAGGCCATCTCCAAGGCTGCACCAAATTTTATACTAAATCTAAATTTTGTATTTTTTTGCTCCAATGGAACACCAAATCTTGCACCATTATAGTGCAAGAATAGTGTTGCACCAAATTTGGTGCAACACTATTCATCACACCAAATTTGATTTATTATTATTTTATTCATCCTTTTATTTTTTTGGACTTTTAGTTTATCATATATTGTGTATATAATTAATTTTTATATTAAGATCTTTATAATTTTAATTTTATATCCTATTTTATATATATATATATATATATATATATATATATATATATATATATTAATTTTTGTATATTTATATAAAATTATAAGTTAATTTTATTATTATTATAATTGTATAAAAATAAATATAACCATTATTTAAAAATAAAAAATACAAATATAAGATATTTAATGTTGCTAAAATTGAAAAGTGAAAACTAAAATTTAAAAAAAAAAATTAACAATACATAAAATAAAAATACATTATAATTAAAGTACATCAAAGGAGGATACATTAAAATTGAATTAACATTAAAAAACATAAAACATAAGTTTAGTAATCCCCTATGTCATTTCCAGGTGCACCAAAATTACCAAAATACTGAGAGAACGGGGTAGAAGATTGTTGTGCTTGTGGTTGTTGAAATTGTTGACTTCTTTTATCGATTATTTCGTTTTTGTTCTTGTCGCAAAAATTCACGAAGATTTGGATCGTCAATGGAATTCAAGTTCGTCAATAANAATTTTTGTATATATTATATTTATATAAAATTATAAGTTAATTTTATTATTATTATAATTGTATAAAAAGAAATATAACCATTATTTAAAAATAAAAAATGCAAATGTAAGATATCTAATGTTGCTAAAATTGAAAAGTGAAAACTAAAATTAAAAAAAAAAATTAACAATACAAAAAATAAAAATACATTATAATTAAAGTACATCAAAGGAGGATACATTAAAATTGAAATTACGTTAAAAATATAAAACATGTATTATACTGCACAACATGATAATTGAGGACGAGCGTGATCTTAATGCACCAGTTGAAGATGCACGTGAATGTCCAGCTCCTGCGGTAGAAATAGTAGTAGATGAAGATCACCGATTTGAATAATTTTTAGCTCGACAAAAAAAATTAAGGATAAAGATGCGCATTTCGCACTTCGTAATGCATTAATCGAGCATTTATGGGAGAATAGAGGCGAAAGTTGAATATTTATGTGGTACTTAAATTAAATTTGACTATGATGTAATATTTATTTAATTATCTTTTATCAATGATTTCACTTTTAGTTGATTTATCCTTTAAAAATAATTTTGTAATAAATGATTATATAAGTGGTGAATGTGAATTATATATAATGAATATGGAAAAAAGAAAAAAGATAGTATTTGTTTGAAGGAAATAAAAAATAAAATTTAAATAGAAGATAATAATATAATATAGAGAGAGAAGAAATATTATCTTTTGGTGTAAAAAATGGTGTAATGGTTGGAGTAAATTTGGTTTTACACCATTTTGGTGTGAAATTTGATGTTAGGGTTGGAGATGGTCTTAGTACTTATAAATCTTTAGTAAAAGATTACCTCTCTTTCTATGCATTAATGTACTTATAGCTTCTAGCTTATTCTTTTTTCATTATCCCTTGTTTTAAACAAAACTTAAACCGTACATTTGCCTGAGGAACACTTTCATAAATATTTTATCACTTCAACTTCAAATATTTTTCTCACTTCCAACTCAAATATTACAAACACAAATAAAATACTATTATTTGATAATTTGTGAATATTATATTGTTGGTGAAATTACAAGTAATTACAGTTGAAAATAAGATGAAGAAAAATAAATAAATATTCTTCAGGCTGAGGCGCGGATATCTCGCTCTCTTTAAGGAGATTCAAGCCCACTGCGGTAGCATCTTTACCGGTCCAGCAGTAATACTCTTGACTTGTCCCCTCCACGATACAACAGCCCGACAACGTCGTATGACTCGAACAAACTCTGGACAAGTTATTGAGTAAAAAGCTCCACCAAAATGAACACCTTCCTTCAACAAAAATAATATTCTCTTTTGTAGAGAATAAGTTGGAGACTTAGATTTTCTCCTTCTCATAACTCTCTTTTTCACTACACCAAGTTCACATTTTTTCATACACACTACCATACTTTCCCACACCAAACACAAGGAAGAAACACCACTATTTATAGGTGTAGAATTTCTTCCATAAAATAAATAATAAGATAGTGGGATAATAAAATAGTAGAACATGGGTTGGTGGTTACAAAATTTAATATTTAGTGGGTACTTAGTGGTAGATCATGGCACTAGTGATTTCAAGAGTTACACCAAAATAATGATCGCTTTCTTGCCAATTTATAACCACTATCTCCCAAGAAATAATGCATTTTAATATTATAATTTTAATATTAAAATGCACTAACACCAACATTCCCCCACTCATTTTAATATTAAAATAAGAGAGTTTACCAATTGAAGGGAGACTATTATGCATAATGAAGGTGTGCTCTGCATTGAACCTCCACTTAGTAAAACAGCGATCTCTACTCCAGAGTCAGTAGTGGTCTCAGACTTGAACTATGACTGCTTTAGGGAAATAAAGTATCACTGCTTACACATAATAATCAAGCTGTTGACATGAGCTTTATTAGCCAGCACATTACGGCCTTGTGCTATCCCGGTTTTCATGAGTGTTTTTTGAGAATAAGCCCAATTCTCTTAGGAAGCGGCCTACTTCCATACTCACATAGGTGAAATCTGTCAAGGGTGCTCCTCTAACTCTAACACCCCACTCATATGAGCTACAGATTTTAATTAAGAGTTAATAAAACTCAACCTCACAAATCATTACAGGATAAACGCACTCACACCATAGGAATGGAACAATAAAAAATAGTGCATTTCAAACCAAGCCATCATATGATTCGTTCTTCCCATTGAACCTGGTTATAGGATCTCTAGTCCCCAGGTTGGGTTTCCTCATATATGACTTATGAGCTTATGGGCTTCAATTCCATCCCCCTCGATGTGCTCCAGACCATTTCTCTTGCCAATGCCTTGGTTAGTGGATCTGCAAGATTATCACATAATCAACATTAATAGTACCACTTGTCAAATAACTCACAATATTATATTTTTCTCCTTATGGGTCTGGATTTACCGTTCTAATAACGGTTTTGTACTCTACCAATAGCAGAGGTGCTATCACAATAAAGTAAAATAGAAAGAATTGGTTTTTCAAAATAAAGAATTTGAAATAATACATCTCTCAACCAATTCGCTTCCTCACTAGCTGAAGCTAAAGCAATTAGCTCAGCCTCCATGGTAGAGTTAGCAATCCTTTTTTTATTTCCAACAAATAGCACCACCTCTCAAAGATAAAATGTTCCAATCTACATCAGAAAGCCTTCGAGTACAGCAGGATATTTTTTATAAAATAAGCCATAGATTTTTGTACCATGTAAATACCACATAACTCTTGTTATGGCATGCCAATGTTCTTTACCTGACTTGCTTGTAAACCTGCTAAGTACTCCTACTGCGTATGTAATATCAGGCCGAGTACAATATATCTCAAGTTTTCAATTAAGTTAGCATATTCCTTTTGATTTATCACATCATTGTCACTTTGTACAGGAAATAAGTGAACACTTGAATCAAAAGGGGTTACAACATGCTTGCAATCAAAAAAATTATATTTTTTCAAAATTTTCTCAACATAATGTGACTGGTCAAGGAAAATTCCATCACATGTTCTAGTAATTTTCATTCCAAGAATGAAATTTGCCTCACCCAATTCTTTCATCAAAATGGCTACTAAGCATTCTTTTAACTTCTCCAATAACATTCATGTTAAAGCCAAATATTAATCAATCATCAATATAGAGGCAAATAATTACATGTGAATTATTCCAAGACTTATGATAGATCCACTCATCACATTTTTATTTAATCAATTTTCACTCATGCATGAATATTCAAAATTTTCATGCAAGAATTTTTTTTTTAATTATTTACCCCCACTATTTCTAGAATGATGAAAATTCAAAATTATACATAATATAATCACATACTCATAAAAATATAAGGTAAATTATTATTTTACCTTTGCCCCGCTTGAGTTAATCATATAATTTTTTTACCTTTCAATCTCATAAAGAGAGTGAACTTCTGTGTTGATATCCGCTATTTTTTCAACTGCATAAAAAAAATGAATCTCCTTAAAATTGTTGGTGAAATTACAGTTGAAAATAAGATGAAGGAAAATAAATAAATATTCTTCAGGCTGAGGCGCGAGTATCTCGCTCTCTTTAAGGAGATTCAAGCCCACTGCGGTAGCATCTTCATCGGTCTAGCAGTAATACTCTTGACTTGTCCCCTCCATGATACAACAGCCCGACAACGTCGTATGACTCGAACAAACTCTGGACAAGTTATTGATTCCAAAGCTCCACCAAAATGAGCACCTTCCTTCAAAAAAAATAATATTCTCTTTTGTAGAGAATAAGTTGGAGACTTAGATTTTCTCCTTCTCATAACTCTCTTTTTCACTACACCAAGTTCACATTTTTTCATACACACTACCATACTTTCCCACACCAAACACAAGGAAGAAACACCACTTTTTATAGGTGTAGAATTTCTTCCATGAAATAAATAATAAGATAGTGGGAGAATAAAATAGTAGAACATGGGTTGGTGGTTACAAAATTTAATATTTAGTGGGTATTTAGTGGTAGATCATGGCACTAGTGATTTCAAGAGTTACACCAAAATAATGACCACTTTCTTGCCAATTTATAACCACTATCTCACAAGAAATAATGAACTTTAATATTATAATTTTAATATTAAAATGCACTGACACCAACGTATACTAACCTATTACCTAGCTAGCCAATATTTTGTAACATAATGACGTATGCCGAAGCCTCAAGGTTTTCGTCTGCAACTCAAGTTCGTTTTCAACGGGGTCGATGCTCCTTTTTTCTGCTATAATAGAGATTTTGAATTTCAAATCAATGATATTAAAATTTCATTGCCATATTACTCCTCTATTGTGATAGTAAGTACGTTTTTTTCATTGTATATTGTATTATGTAGTGTGAGAAAAAGCGTATAATTAATTAAGTGCCAAAACCTTGCATCTGACCGTGTTTGTTTGGAGCTTCTTTTATTGTGCACAAAAGCCACAGACGACGCTGATGATAATGAAGATATGGATGCGTACGTAGTATAAATATTCAACATTGACAGCTAAAAATGGAGGCGCACCCCCTTCATGTCAATTGTCTGTATGCTTATCTGCTGGTACCATGAATTCTTCCCATTTTCAGTTAGTACATTTTTCCCAAGAGGGCCCCAACCCCCACTAAAAAAAAAACCCCTCCCCCAGATAACTTTTTCTCATAGGGTTTATATTCTTCTCCTTTTTTTTTTTTTTTTTTTTTTTTTTTTTTTCTTTTTTTCTAGAAATATTGTAAGAGAAGCCCCTATGGCCCTATCCATTCATTTTCGCCTGCACTAGGGCCATTTCCTTGCACGTACGCTTGTTCGCGTTCAGTGGTGTACGTTTCCATTTCTTGACAAATGACAAGCCGTTTGAAATAGTCGCTGTCTTTTACCTCTCATGCATATAGTCAAAATTAAATGCTTGAAAGAGACTTCGTCTGTCCCTATTTTCTCACGAGTTAAGTAAATCCTTTTCTCATAGATTAAGTGAAGAATAAATTGACAAGAGTGGGTTACAAGATAACTCATGTACAAAAAAATGTTGATGCCATCTAGCTTTGTAAGATTTTCTTGCTATTAATGTAGAGACTTGGTGAGGACGATGCTTTGAACATTCTTGTTGCTTTTATTATAGAATTTTTTTTTGCTTCAATTTTCTTAGTATTATATTGAACCGAAAATCTATTGCCATAATCTCCTACATTCTTAGGATTGGGATTATAAGATATGTATATACGCCGTCTGTATGAGTCAAAATCTGACTACAAGTGGATTACTCATCGAGCTCGCCAAGAGACGATCCCAATAAGGCGACCCCATTCTATCCCCCATTAAGGGGAATGGTAAGGGGTTGACCAAGTCTTGGACGCACCCATAAGGCGTAACGGCGACGAGTGTCTCGGCCACTGCCAGGATCGAGCCATCGAAAAGGCTTGCACAACGGAATATATGTGGTCATGCTTGAGCAAGTAAAGAGGAAGATAGTAAAGAAGGGGTATGCTGGTAAAAGACCGTTGGATAAAGAGGAATATATATATATATATATATATATATATGAAAGGAAAGGCAGAAAGAAGGGGGTTTCCCAGGAGAGAAAAAGAAGTAGAAGACTTGGAAGAGACCTCTGAGGAACAAAGCAAGAGTCTAGATTACGGGTTACAAACCTTTGTAAATACCATAGTTGAGTCAATAGAGCTAGATCTCATAGTTATCAACGAGATTCCTCTGTTTATCTTCTTTGCTTTATAAATGCAGAACAATATATCAAAGATGTAAGTTTATCATTTACGTTTGATGTTTTAATCATTCTGAGAAACTTTACATAAACTCAACCTCATTTGATTCTAGTATCCAATATACTTAGATCTAAAGTTAATTATGTTTGGTTGGAATTTACTCTTTATTTCATCATTAATTAATTTAGCTAAAAGGTTCAACATTTTTTGGTCAAACACCATCTTCTTCTTATCTCACTTGGTAAAATTTCACTAGATTTGTTGTCTTTGTTATTAGAATATAAATTATGAGGATAAGGTCGCCTCCGAACTGCTAGATTTTCGGTAGTAAAGCTTTAACTTGCACTCTACAGTTCAAGAAATTTTCCAAAACAGATATTCTAAAGCTCTTTTATTCTTTTTTTTTTTTCCCTTTCATTTCCAGCACTACGAAGCTACTTTTCTTTTTTCCTATAAAAGGGTGTGTGTACAATTTCTAGTATAGACCAAGTTCCGATGTCCCGACAGACTCCACGTGGTCTGACAAGTGACACCACGTCACACGGTCGGCTTCCCCCTTGCTTTGACCATTTGACCGCACGTGACTTGTGCTTCATACGTGTCCGCCATCTTCTGCTACTTTCTCAATTTGCAATGCATGGTGGCACGAGACGAGAGATACTTGTTGGGACTTAAAGAGAGAGAGAGAGCAACCCTTTTTACACACACTGATTGATTTACTAGTGACGAAAAATGGCAAGGTCACTATGTTACTCCCTCCGGTTCAAAATAAGTGATTTTTTGGATATTTTCATACAGATTAAGAAATTCATCTTTTAGCATTAATTAGCAATGGAATTAACTATATTAACCTTTGCTATCTCACATATATACTCCTAACACATATTCCAACACTATTTACTCCAAGGACAATGTAGGAAAAATATAATTAATTCATTCTTGAAATTTAGAAAAATCACTTATTTTGGACCACAAGAAAAAGGCCAAAAAATTACTTATTTTGGACCACAAGAAAAAGACCAAAAAATCACTTATTTTGGACCGGAGGGAGTAATATATAAGCTTTCCATGATGGCGATCGAATTGCCTAAAACAAGCCTTTTTTGCATGCGTTAGCCAAAGCATAAATACATGCGCGCTTAACCCTAGATACTGTATTTGTGTTGAAAACTAAAGCTCTATGCTTTGCTTGACTTTGGCCTCCTTAGCCCTCATTTAACTTCTTTAGGCGCATGCACTGTGTGCAAGTAAGGTGTCCAGAACATGGGACCCTCATGCGTGAGAGTTGCCGGAGCTCCCAACTGCTAGATCCAAAATTTAAATTTAGTTATAGGTTCGATCAATCAGAATTTTTATAAATATAAAGAAGTAAATATGTGAAAATGCCAATAAAATTCAATATTTTGTATAGGGTCAAATTTGACCCTCAGTATCTCTACGCCCAATGAGTGTACGCCGACCAACGTAGCGGGTACGACTCGGCCGTAAGGACCAAAGCGACGTCGTTTAGAACTCAGTGTCTATACTAGGGAGACGTTACCTATCTCTGTAATTTTTTGATTCTTTCGAGGAAGGTCTCCTATTATATAAAGGAGACCTCCACATTGTAAGAAGGGGGGCATCTGATCTAATACAACTCTCTCATTTTCTGTCTCTCTCTCTATATCACTACTTCTGACGAAAATACCTTATTAACATACATTGTCACTTTGCAATATTAGATCTACAACAACATTATCATCTTTGCATCTCTAGGCTTATTATATTTGATTACGATTTACCCCTTCTCTATTTTTTGATTGTTTTATCGCTTATAAAGTACATCGTTAACTTTTGAGCCAAACAAACCTTATAGGTTGAACCTATCAAGTTTAAATCATGAATTTGCCTCTCACATTTGTCAAGTACACTCTTCATTTGTATGAACATAGTCTAGTCAAAGGATATGGCATAGGTGTGATTACTGTTTACGAATTCTTGAAAGGACTGGGCAGCTCGGTGCACAAAGCATCCCGCATTTACGCAGGATCCAGAGAAGGGCCACACTGTTAGGGGTGTGATATAGATAGTCTATCCTAATGCAAGCATTAGTGGCTACTTCCACGACTCGAACCTGACCCGCGACCTATAGGTCACACAAAGACAACTTTACCGTTGCTCCACCACTCCCCTTCTTATGGATCCTTGAAAATATGCAAAAATAAGTTAGAAGTTGAACATACTTGTATAGGATCCGAACTGAACTCTGATACTCATACTGAATCTAGTAACATAGTTTATAGTCCGGAGGTTTTGCTTTCCTGAAAACAGTGCAACACGCTAATCGTACTTCTTAATGTTTATATAGGTAAAGATCGGTGATCTTGGCTTGGCAACGATTGTAGGGAAGAACCATGCAGCACATACATTGCTCGGGACACCAGAGTATATGGCACCAGAACTATATGAAGAGAACTATACAGAGTTGGTGGATATATACTCATTTGGAATGTGTTTGTTAGAAATGGCCACAATGGAAATACCATATAGTGAATGTGACAGTATAGCCAAATTGTACAGGAAGGTGACATCTGGCATAAAGCCTCAAGCTTTTAACAAATTGAGTGATCAAGAATTGAAGGCTTTCATTGAAAAGTGCATTGGGAAACCGAGAGCAAGACCATCTGCTGCTGAGTTGCTTAAGGATCCATTCCTTTCTGATGTTGTTGAATATGAATGATCTTAATTATATTAATAATTGCCCTTTGTTCAAATATTTACAAATATTATTCTTTGCTACTCAAGATTATTCAGGAAACAGTTTCTTAATTACAATTGTATCCATTATCACTCTAGGCAGAAGCGATTCAATTGAACCTAGTATTTCTAATACGGTATATAATTTTAAAACTACAATGAGTTCAACGCCAAGAACTTTAAAAATTGAATCCACCAAGTTTAAATCATGGATCTGCCTCTTATTCCAGGTTCAAGAAACAATCTTCATGTTTAGGGGTGGCATTTTGAGCCTGAACCCGCTCATTTGTTCAACTCAACCCATCTTGACCCATCTCATCTCAGCACATCTAAAGTTGGATTAATTTTTCGCTCAAATTGATCAATGAGTAACTTTGCTAAAATATGACCCAGACCACGTAACTTTTGAGCGGATCATTAACCCTCCTATTTATTAACTCAGCCTATTTTAACATGCCCAAAATCAGCCCAACTCTCCCATTTTACGCCCCTATTCGTGTCTCCCCTCAACTGTAAATTTGTTTGACTGTTGGTATTTTATTTTCATTCTTTTTTTATATCTGTGTTCTAGACAGTCTATATTGAAAACATATATATACAACAAATTTCATGTTTTTCTCAAACAAATTGGGATGCAATTCAACACCTGCACTTATAGTTGGATAAATACTTCAAATTTATACACACATCATATTATAAATTTAAAGTAACTAAGTAAAATTAACGCGAAATTGTGAAATTGCAGTTCGAGAGAAAACACCATAAGGTGAACTCAGATAGTATAACAATTAAGAGTAAGAGACTATATATTTGGTATTTTCAATTGGACTCATTGCTTTTAGCGCGAATGATGTGTGTCCATATGAAAAGAACTTTAATGATGTGTGTCCATATGAAAAGAACTTTAAAATATAAGCATATAACACGGTCACACTCATTCATAACTCGATAACTCTAGATCCTCTCGATAACTCTAGATCCTGGATTTACCTCCGTTTAGGAGCAACAATAAGAGGATCCATTGAAATGCAATCACCCAGAAAGTGTTTTGTGTTGGGCGATAATCGACTTATCAAGTAATATTTGGCAACAAAATCAACTTATATATAGGATTTCTGAGAATTTAAGCTCGTAGACTTTGTTACTGTAATATGCAAAATAATTTTTATACTTGTACCATTTATTGAACGACTACTTCTTTATAGTAACACAATATTTAGCTCCCAATTCAGTTCTACAATTCTATTGAATATCAATGTGCTACATTGTATTGTTTTATTAGTAGAATTTTAGGCCCCTAAAAATGAAATTTGTGATTCCGACTCATGGATTCTCGATGATACAACTTACAAGGGTTATATAAAGAAGTATAATTGATTTTTAAATTGATAACCCAATCATCTGAACCCACTACATTCGACGAAAAGTACAAATTTGTGTATAAAATTTCACTACAATCTCAATAAACAATTGATATGAACCCATAACTTTAAAAATATAATAAGTTCAATGCTAGAAACTTTAAACGTTGAACTTATAGAGCTTAAATTCATTATCCGCCTCTCTATGTTACTTGCCCATATTTGATTTAAGTTATTCAATCATAGTTTAGGTCTTATTACCAACATCGTATATGGAGAAAAATAAAAATAGAAAACATGCAAGTCAAGACAAACTTGGAGTCCATTACTCAAATGGTCACTCAACTATCCGAAATTATCCGCTAAAGTCATCTTTCTCTCGTTTGTAGCAGCAAAGTCACTTAACTATGTCTATAGCACTCAGAAGGTCACTCAACTAGATTTCTCAAATTTTTAATTATCAAATACCTACTTTACCCTTTAAATTATCAACTTTTTTCTTCTTTTTATTTTTTAAAACTTTTTAATTTTATGATTTTTTCTCTTTATAATTTATATTATGGATTTACCTATAAATAAATTTTATTTATAAATTAGAAAAATAGTATTTATAAAAGTTGATAATTTAGAGGGTAAAATAGATATCTAACAATCAAAAGTTTGAGAAATCTGGTTGAGTGACCCTTTGAGTGTTATAAGCATAATCAAGTGACTTTTCTGTTACAAACGAAAGAATTTTCGGATTGAGTAACAACCATTTAAGTAATGGACTCCATCGACAAATACACTTATACATTAAACAAAAAGGAAAAAGGGATAAAAGTTGTCATTGGGATTAAGAGAGATGTTGGTAGTAAGCAAAGCAATTCCTTCAAACAAAAGCAAATCCAAACTTAATACTTACTAGTATTTTATTTTAGAAGCCGTGCCGTCTTGGGTGTTACTACAAAAAGCACTCTTAAAACTTCTTCCTCAATTCAGCTAATTACCCATTTTTTTAAGTTTTTCCATCTTATTATGGTTTGGCTTCAATTTTCCACCTTTTGTCTTTCCCAATACACTCGAATTTCCCCCATTAGTTCTCCTTCTTCTTGCATTTCTCTAGGTTAGAATTGTCAATCTTTTCTTAATTAAACTCACTCAATCTTAATTAAAATATCTTAATCTGCTTAAGCATAATTTCTTAGGAATAGTTAGCAACAAAGACAAGATTAAGTTACGCCATATTCTTAATACTTAGGAAAAGAAAAGTTGAAAGAAACTTATGCTAGTAAAAACCCAAGAGTTTAAGCTAGCGTTTGGACATAAATTTTGTTAAATTTACTTTTTTTTAAAGAGTTTTTAAAACTGTGTTGTAAAATAATTTTTGAAAAGCCGAAGTTGTGTTTGGACATTTATTTTATTTGAAAAAAAGTTGAAGTTTTATGAGTGGAAGAAAATATAATTTTTTGGAAGTTTAAAATTTTTCTCAATTTTTTTTTAAAACTAATCATATTCCATGAACAAATAATGTTTTAAATTTTACTTTTTTTGAAACAATACAGCCAAAATCAATAACCAAATGGGAGCAAGCTTGAATTATATTGAAATACCTCAGTCTAAATATGTGAACCTTAAGAGTAAATTCCGGATGAAAAGTCAATAAATCTCTTCAAAACAAAATACTACTATAAAGGTGTACATTTTGAGTTTCAAAAGTTAGTATAGTATAGTAATATTTAGAAAGTTTCATTGGGAATCTTGAATATTGAATATCATATATAATTTTCTACACAAAGCGACGTATAAAATTCTTGAATGTTTCATAAACTCGATTTTCATATTATGGGAGAATACAGCATTCTTCAATTCTTCCAATAAGGGAGGCTAATGCACGTGTGCATACAGTCCAAAAGCCAAGAACTTCAACCTCGAACGTCTTTGAAGCCTTAAAATTAGGAGGTTTTTTGAGTTTCACTTGTGACTTTGACTAAATATAAAAACTACTATAGTCAAAGGTCACGAATTGTATCCATGTGACCTATAGGTCACGGGTTCGCAACGTGAAAACAGTTATTAATGTATGCAATAGGGTAGCTTGTCCACATCAACCCTTCGGGTGCGGCCCTATCCTAGACCATGGGTAAAAACGGGATGCCTTATGCACATGGCTACCCTTTACTATTATTGTCAGAGGCAGAGCTAGAGCAATAAGTACATGTTTGGATAAATCTAGTAGTTTTTGCTTAGACCTTGTATTTATATTATAAAATTCACTAAGTATGTATTACTCCCCTCGTTTCAAAAAAGATTGTCTTAGTTTGACTTCACATAAACTTTAATAAAGAAGGGAAGACTTTTGAGATCTGTGGTCTTAAATAAGTCATAGGATTTGTGTGGCTGTAAAACTTTTGAAACTTGTGGTTTGAAACTTGCCATAGCATTTGTGTGGCTGTAAATATTTTCTATTAAGGAAATATTGAAAGATGTCAATTTTTTTGGAACAGACTAATAAGGAAATAGTTTCAATCTTTTTGAAACAGAGACTAATACTGCAAACTTAGTCGATAAAACAAGAAAGTTTCAAGTACCTTGGGTCGGTTATTCAGGGGGACGGAGAGATCGACGAGGACGTCACTCACCGTATAGGGGCGGGCTGGATGAAATGGAGGCTAGCATCTGGAGTCTTGTGTGACAAGAAAGTGCCATCGATACTCAAAGGTAAGTTTTATAGAGTTGTGGTTAGACCGGCCATGTTGTATGGGGCAGAGTGTTGGCCGGTTAAGAACTCTCATATCCATAAGATGAAGGTAGCAGAGATGAGGATGTTGAGGTGGATGTGCGGGATCACTAGGATGGATAAGATTAGGAATGAAGGTATTCGGGAGAAGGTGGGCGTGGCCCCTGTGGATGACAAGATGCGGGACGCGAGACTCAAATGGTTCGGGCACGTGCGGAGGAGAAGTCTTGATGCTCCGGTGAGGAGGTGTGAGAGGTTGGCTGTGGCGGGTACGAGAAGAGGTAGAGGGCGGCCTAAGAAGTATTGGGGAGAGGTGATCAGGCAGGACATGGCACGACTGCAGATTTCCGAGGACATGGCCCTTGATAGGAAGGTCTGGAGGTCAAGCATTAGGGTTGTAGGCTAGGGGATAGTCGAGCTTTTCCTACTTCATACGGGGGTGAGGCGGGGTTGGATAGAGTTGATCTTAGACGGCTTGTGGTTAATGTTGAGTCCACACTATCCTTTTCTATTTTTCATAGCCCCGGGCCTTAATTACTGGTTATTGTTATTGCATGTCATCTATTTTTTGATTTTTATGCTTATGTTACTATTTCTACGGTTTCTACTGACGTTACTGATGAATTGTCTCTTCTTGTTTTATTTCCATCTTCCTTAGCCGAGGGTCAATCGAAAACAGTCTCTCTGCCCCATCGGGGTAGGGGTAAGGTCTGCGGACACACTACCCTCCCCAGACCCCACTTTGTGGGATTTTACTAGGTCGTTGTTGTTGTTGTTGTTATTTAGTCGATAAAACAAGCTATGGGTTCTGTAGCAATTTAATAACTCATAAACTTTAAATCCTGATTTCGGCTCTAACGATAGTGATCTTAGTTGTGCACAAATATCAGTGAATCCATAATAAGTCTGCACCTTTTTATGTATTTTTCCACTCTGGTTTTTGCTTTACAGGATTTCTGGATTCTAGAAACACTCTACCCTTTTATACTATTTTTTTGATATTTGAGCTGGGATTTTCCAACATTTATGCTTCCTTTCAGAAACAAATGTTTCTATCTTTGACTAGATTTCATGCATTAACTCCATCTGCCATTAAAAACACTCACTCACTCACTTCCACTCAAGTCTTATTGGTTAGTTCTCATTACTGAATGGGCAATTCTTCAGACTTTTCAGTTCTTTCTAGTCCACTTTCATCTCCTAATGTTGGTGCCCTCCTTAAGATCAAGATCATTTCATGGTAATGAATTTCAACACTCCCTTTTCTACTTTTCCATTATAGTTTGTTTATCTATTAACTTACAATGAAATGTTATTTCAGGAGTCAAGAAACTGGCTTGCCTGTCACTATTCGAGTTCGGATAGGTAATAGAACCTTTAACTTGCATAAGGTGAGATTTCTCAACATCTTAATGACAAAATAAAATCATTTAGCATGAAGCTCCAAGAAAGTACCACTTTTTTTCCCGATAATGATGGCGTCCGGGTAAGCTTGCGTGCTATGTTGCTCGGACACCCTTGAAAATGTCTCTGAATGCGTGTCGGATCCTCCAAAATTAGTGTATTTTTGGAGGATCCGACAAGGGTGCGGCAGCGTTTTGGAGAGTGCGCGCATCATAGCTTGCACACACCTCGACTAATTCCACACTATACCTACTATCTCCCACCCAGTAACAGGTATCGGATAACTCTATCGACCAAGGCTTGGATAGATGGGAAGAACACCTACTGTTTTTTGTCTCCGCTAGGAAGAAAGTACCACTTCTCAACATGTAATATTATCAATTAGCTCATTTTGTTGGTTAATCTTTGGTTTTTTATGTTGCAGCACCCATTGTTTTCAAAGAGTGGATACTTCAGAAGACAATTGAATGAATCAAATGAGGTTGAATTACCCGGAAATTTCCCAGGAGGACAGGAGACCTTTGAAATGATGGCGCTTTTCATCTATGGATCGTCCACGTTGGTCGATCCTTTCAATGTTGCAGCACTAAGATGTGCAGCAGAATTCCTGGAAATGACAGAAGAATACAGCTCTGGCAATCTTTGTGAGCGTTTCGACATATATTTAAATCAGGTAGTACTACAAAGCTGGGACGATACTCTGATAGTCCTCCAAAAATGCCAATTATTGCTTCCTTTGTCTGAGGAGCTGCTGATTGTTAGTCGTTGCATCGAATCACTTGCCTTTATGGCTTGTATGGAAATTCTTGACCCCGAAAGGAGAAGAGACCATCCGGTTGTTACATTAGAGGCCTTGGCTAATCAGCATTGGAGCGACGAGACAGTCAAGGAAATTCTCAGCCAAGATTTATGGATTAAAGATCTTATTGCATTGCCATTTCCATTTTTTAAGAGGATAATATCGTCTCTGAGAAGACAAGGAATGAAGGAGAAATATGTCAGCCCAATAGTACTTTTCTATGCAAACAAATGGGTACTTTCTAAAAAGACACACCAGTTTTGGCAGAATGCTAGTAAGGAAAGTGAAGTTGAAAATAATACTGATGATGATAATAATAATGAGACAAATGAAAAAGTTTCCAAAATACTTCAGGGAATTCTTGACTTGCTGCCAATGGGAGAGAAAGCTAGTAAAGTAATACCTGTTGGATTATACTTCGCTTTGCTTTCAAGATCAGTTCAGCTCGGTTTAAGAATTGAAAGTAGAGAAAAGTTGTTAGATCAGATTGCCTGTCTACTATACTTGGCTCAAGTGGAAGATTTTCTCCTTCCAGAAAGCGACAACGACTCCATTTCTTCGTGCATTGAGTTAACAATAATGAAGAGCATATTTTCAAAATATGTAACCTTCGGAATGGAGTTACCTCATACACCTTCACCAAGAAATTACGTCGTTGCTGAACTTTGGGATGCATATCTAACCAAGATAGCCACTGATCCAAAATGGAGTGCTAAAAGATTCCTGGAACTCATTGAAACTGTTCCATTGTCCAGCAGGCAAACTCATGATCATCTCTACAGAGCTTTAAGCACTTTTCTCATGGTAAGTTTTCTACATATCTATTCCTAAAGTAGAAGTTCAACATAATTTAAATGGAGAGGTGCATTGCTCTGTGTATTTCAATGAAAACCAACCAGATTGCTACATGCATTTTTAGAAGGTTGGCTATTTAGATTTCATCTTCAATTGTCAATTTCAAACTCAAATCAAACCAATAATTGGAAAAACCAAGGGCTGTCAATAGAGGCGGAGTCAGGTTTCAACTTTATAGGTTATGGATTTTAGAACGACGACTTAAGGTGCTAATAAACTGGATTCTAAATTTAATGTGTACATATATAATGAATTTTATAACACAAATACACTGTTTGAGCAAAAGCTATGGATTCGGCCCCTATATGCAGCGGCGGACGCACAAGCCAAAATCAATAGCTTTTGCTCAAACAATGTATTTGGTGTTTTGAATCATGAAATATGTATTAATATTATATCAAGAACTCAGTCATTAACACTTGAAGTTGTGGTCCCAAAATCCATAACGCATAAGGTTGAAATTCTGGCGACGCCTCTGCCAATATGGGCTTCTACTTCCGCTCCTGCTCCCAATTTACTGTTCAATAATTTTTCCTGAACAAAGAAAAAAATTTCTGTTCTATCCAGGCACATCCTGATATGTCACAAGAGGAGAAAGCATTGGTGTGCAAATACCTCAACTGCCAGAAACTTTCACAAGAAGTGTGCATTGAAGCAGTTCAAAATGAATTGATGCCATTGAGACTTATTGTCCAAGCGCTGTTCGTTCAGCAACTAAACACACAACAAGCTTTTAAAGAATGTTCAGACTCGTTCCGATATGCTCATTGTGGAGAATACTCGGGAAGCCTCTCGAGTACAATATATGCAAATTCCAAAAGCCAGAATTTGGTAGAGAGTCCATATATGGAAGGAAGCGAAGGCGGAAGCAAACCACTAAGCTTCTTGTTAAAAGATTCAGCAGTGCAAAAGTCTGAATTCTCAAAAAAGGAATATGAATCCACTAGCTTCAGAATCCAAAATCTTGAACATGAATTAATATCCTTGAAAAAAACGCTTCAACTACAGCACATTTCTAAGCAAACAGAAACCATTTCCAAGAAAGCTGAACCAGTTTCTGCAGATTATCAGAGCCTGAGACCATACGGTTTAGAAGGAAGAACACCAAGCAAGAAGAGGAATAACCCCGTTGGACAAGTGACTAGTTGCATTGGTTCTGTGAATTTGTCTTCCCAACGACGATATGCTACTAGGTTACTGAAGGTTTTTCGGAGGATAAGTTTGTTTGGCAGAGGAAAATCAAGAAAAAAATCAGGTGGCAATGGCCTTAGGCCAAAGACATTGAACTTATAAACTACTCATGTAATTGCATTGTTGGTCAAGAACCGTCGAATATGACACAGTATAATATTTTCCAATTTTGATGTAAGAAAGTTCGTGTAAATAGCAAAAATAAGAACATGTTAGTAGAAGTTGATATTATAATGAATCATAAGCAGTTGCATTTTGGTGCATGTGGTTGGCTGTGTTCTTTTGTTGGACTTATGCAATAGCCAAATTGTTTTCCTGTGCCCTGCATTTGCTTAGATATACTATAGAATCACATATTTTGTTCCGCATACAGGTAAATTAAGTACCAAAAAGATTACTGAAAATTACTTACACACACACAAATCGACGATAACGCAGAATCTATTTCATATATGAGGCTACTGAAAATTTTTAAGGTAGATCGCCTGTTGAAGAAGCGACCTACTCCTCATAGATAGTTTTGCCGAACCATTACTGGAGTTAATTCATTTTGTAAAAACTCGTTCAACTTCCCTATGTTTGGAAATAGAGAAAAGAAGAGCAGCAGAAATCAGGAGCAAATGGAAGAGAAAACAAAGAAAAATAACTAGTACTAGTATATTTCTTTTGTTTAATTTTATGTGGAAAATAAAATAATTACTTTCTATTTCATTAGCTTAAATTGATTTTATTTTCCTTAATCTCAAACCAAAAAGAATAGGAAAACTTATAAACGTTCCCTTCTTTTTTCTTTCTCTAATTTTCAAAAAAAAAAAGATTCTTAATTCTGTTAAAATAATAATTTATAGTTCTATTCTATTTTTCGCCACTCACCAAAAAAATTCTGGCGAGCTGTTGATTTCAAAATAATAACACAAAACATTAGTAACGTTATAGTTAATACAAGCATTCTCCCTATTAGATACATAATTCATATAAAAAATATGCTCGTGTGAAACTACACGTTGTTTTGAATGAAGCCATTTCTGGAGTGCAATTTACAAATACTAAGAATAAGGTAACAAATAAAAATAAATTCAGGGATCCCAAACCAAATGAGTATATAATGATACAAAAATTAGCTCACAAGTACTCCTTTTTAAATTTATTTGCGTTACCAAAAGTAACCTGAAACTAAAGCAGGCAGCTTTTGATACAGAGGAAACTAGAGAAGTACCATTTTCAGGTACCAGCACCACCTAAATACAGGCAACATTAGTAAATTCTGCCTCAGCCTACCTAGATCTATCAAAACATTCAAACTTGATTCAACAAAATAGTCCGTCTGAGAACTGAGCCGAAAACAGAAACATGTATTCCAGACACTCAAGTACAATCCAGAGATGGTATTATATAGAACTCATCCTTTATCCCACTCCTCACTGCAATCAAATTCTTGCCCCTCAAGATCGCAGCAAGCGGATATCATGGACCTCTAAACATGGAGCAATTTCACACTTCCAAGGAAATCTTGTAGAAGATAAAATATACAGCAAATTGTAACTCCAAGATACTGTAATAAAGGAGTTACAGATATCATTCATGCTGACATTCTGTACGCTTGACCTGCGATGGCCATAGCTGAGACAACGGTTTCCCTTTCTGGCATGCCATCATACAGTCAAGAACAACTTCTCTGAGCTTTTTCTCTATATCTACAACTGGAAGGGTTGCATCTATAACCTGCAATAAAACACAGAAACAACATTAGCAAGGCAAAGCTATCTCTAATGCTTCGGATCAAAACCTGATCACCTGTTGTTTGGTTCATGAATACAAGTGAATTTATGTATTCAGAGAAGACAAAACAGGAATATGATCAGTAGCATTTAATCAATGTCAGTTACTAATAAGGGGTCGTTTGGTAGGAGGTATTACAAGAAATAATGCAAGCATTAGCTCTGTGCATTACTAATACCTTGTTTGGTACATTTTTTAAACCTATGTATAACTAATACACATCATACTTCGTATTATCCTAGGTATAAGTAATGCATAGGAAACTATGACATTAGTAATGCAAAGGTTTTTAATACTTGTATAAACATGGTTAAAGACCTAATTGCCCCCCTCAAATCCCTAAAAACCTATCTTAAATTCTTTCCCCATACTTTTAGCAAAGAGACTTCTCTTTGTACGCTTTGGCCATGGAAAAGCACATGTGAATTCAGCCGTATTATCTTCTTCTTCATTTTCCTCTTCAGAGATCAAAGTCACACGTTCACAGGTAAAAGGATTTTCAGTGATTTTGTTCTTTTTTTCCCCCATTTTGGACGACTCATGGAGTGAAGGCACCAACTACTGGTTTCTTTATCTGTTGGGGGTGTGTTTCTATATTCAAGAGCTAATATTTGAGGTATTTTGTATAATTTAGTTCTTAGTTATGGTTAATTTCATTCCTGGTGCTTCCTTTTGAAATGGTTTGTTCATTTGCTCTTTCTACCCCTATTTCACAAGTTGGGTACAGTTCTTTCTCTACTAAATAGCATAGTATCAAATTTATGTGTATTCATTCTGTTTTTCATTGTTGTATGAATTTCTTATTATGTTATCTATGTAGTTAAATTTCAAAATTTATGCAATGCTTTAATACACCAAACCAAACAATGCATAAGAAATAATCTCAGCATTATTAATACACTCTATTCAGCACTATTCTTATACCTCTTACCAAACGACCCCTAAGAGCTTTATATGTTTTTGTTTAGTTACCATAGGCATGCTATATTTGATAAAAAAAATGATATGTAAAAAATCCGAACTACCTCCAAAAGTACTGCTACCACCTATTGTGTTATCAGAGTAGTTGTATACTTAAACAAGTAAACAACATTTCTATTTCCATACACAAAAGGATATCAAAAAGTTACCTTCCACGAGGAATCACGAAGAGCCAAATAAGATCTGGCGACCTTTTTCTGAAACTCAAGCTGCTCATATCTTTCACCTCCATAACCTCCTCTTTCAGCAGCTTTCTAGTTATTAAAAAATCAAATCATAAATATAGTCATATTAACAACAAAGAAAAGGAAATTTTCATACTCAAAAAAATATTGCTGATTAAGAATAGTTAACATGTCAACCGTATAAATAAGAAACCTGAAAAATATATAAAGTAAATATTACAGCTCATCATCAATAACAGGTATAAAATCCACTACTAGTTCAAAGATAGACTTCAAAGTAGGAAATTGCATTGACAATATCTCTAAATTTAGACAAGTAAAAAGAAAATAAATATCAAAACTACCTCAGGTGATATGTCAAGGTATACAACCAGATCTGGAGCTAACAATCCTATTTCAGGAGCCTGCAGTGGAAGATCTCAGTATTAAACTTGCTCGGAGATGAAATTGCAACATCAATGAAGTAGAGATATGATTTTACCTTACACCATCCAATATCTAGTCCCTTGGAAGATGAAAATGCCACCCCAGAATAAGAATAGCGGTCAACAATGAGAGTAGTTCCACTCCTCAGCTTGTCCTCCATTAATGATCTGCAGTTCCACGACAGAAATTAAAACTTTCCGGAAGCACCAGCCTAGAGAATGTTAAATTCTACAATGATTATGAGCCAACTCACTGCAAGTTCTCAAATATACTACCTGACCTGGAATGAAAAATGTTTGCAGCCCAACCAAGTTAAAACTTTCAGTTAAATGACAATGGTATTTAAGGATTTTAAAAGCGGAATTCAACTAGTGCCATTATACATCTCTATTTTCATCAACACCTTTGCTTGAGAACAAAACTACAAATGGAACAGAGATTTTTTTTTTAAGAGAAAGGCATATATCATTTGCTTATGCATTTCGGTGGAACTTCCAACCATGTTACCTGAATTACCATCGTTGAGCTAATCAAGGAAAAAAGGCATATGAAAATATTTGCACATCCGAACTAGTTCCTCTTTTAAGTTTATTATTAAGCACTGTTATTAATTGAAGACCACAAAATAAGTTTCATGCTTTCTGATATTTAGATTGACAAACTAAATTATCCTCACATTTTCCTGGCAAATTACAATCATAGACAGACAACTTGTCATGAATTATTCAAACTGGTAGAGTAGAAAGTCTACGCCACTTAATTCCTTTTCCATCCATTCTACAATGTTATTTTCATTTTCTTGGTCCGCAAGGAAAGGTCTTCTTTATCAGTTTGAAGATAGCAAGGAAGAAACTGGGAATTATTAGCAAAAGATAATGCATTCCTAACATGTTTTCTTGAAAATCAGTTTCTATTACTTGACTAGCTGAATGAGAAATACCAACTAATATACAGCCAGATTGAGTGAGTCATGTATTTCCAATGGCATAAAAGAAGTCTCAGCATTCAAACCATCAGTTCAGCAATGACTAGCCAGCATATCAAATTTGGGGGATATATGCCTGCTGGCTAGCCAGTTGGTTGATCAAAAATCAACCATCTTAACAATTTCATCTCCACATATAGCTAAAATAGAAACGGTCTTCAGAAGAAGGACTAATTCAAATGATAAATGACAAGCCTAACTATTTTTGACAGACGATATGACCAAGTATTAAATTCTAGCAGACAGGTGATCGCTGTGTATCGGAGACATTGGGCATCACAATATACAGACTACACATAGGCAACACAAGTCAGGCTATGTGAATTAGAACAAACCTCTTCTCCCAACGATTAGCACTGAAGAGAAGATGTATTGCATGGTCATCCAACTGCAACTCATTAGCAAGATAAGAAGAAATCATTTGCCCCACGCCTGTATTTCTGTCAGGAAATCTCCACGACTCAACTGAATGTCCCTGCTCATCCAAGTATTTGTACAGTCTGCCAGACTGCGATGTCTTTCCACAGCGGTCCAGACCTTCTAAAACAATTAAGGCACCTCTGGAACTGCTGTTCTCTTTGTTCTCCATATGAATTAGTCTCAAAGGCTTAAAAGGTAAACTCAAATCCAAGCTAGACTTCAATGAAAACCAAGCTGCCCAAGTTCCAAATTTTCTCGGGAAAGTAGAAATCACCTTTGGTACAAAGAATCTGCCGGAGAACAAAGTTTCCTCCGCTTTTAAATTCCTTCGCAAAGAAAGTTAAACACAAACCATTTTAATAAACTAGATCTCCATGACATATAGAGAAAACTCTGCAAGCTCTTCTTCTTTAAGCTGTGTCATCAAATTCCAACATGCACTCATATCCGCGGATCTAGTATTTGAACTTTATGAGTTCGACCGTTCGAGTAGGAATTCTATCATAGCACAATGTTTGAAATATATTATTTATACTGTTTTAGTGGATATTAGAGCATATATACCGAATCTAAGCTAAAGCTACTAGGTTCATATGAACCCGTTTCAATTACCCTACATCCACCCCTGCTCATATCATACACTACACAATAAAGATAATTGCCCTGTGGATTATACTCTAGTTGGCATTTCATCAAGCATAATATGGGCGTATACATTTTGCATCAACTGAACGTAGTACGATAATTAACTAATCAAATAATTTTTCATGAGGAGGGTACATAACAAGAAAGGACATAAGAAAAAAGGGAAAAAAAAGGGGAAAGGGGGGGAATTAAACATTTCTAAACAAATTATCAAATCGTCAATGGATATTTAAGAAAAAAACAAATTTGAGCAAAGCAAAGATGAAGCATTAAGGAAACTTACAATGTCCTTGTGATGTTGAAAATGCAGGCATGTGTCATATCACCGTGAATATCTACTCATCCAAAATCGAGAAAAAGACTTGTTTCCCGCGTCTGTTTTGAAAAGTCTCAAAAAATTTCGCGCCTTTGGTTCCTTTTTATTTTTATTTTAATACTATTAATTAATATTTGAAGGGGGCGAGTCGGTCAGTTATTTTTTAAGTACCTCCTATATTTTGTGTGAGAGGTATTGTAAAATATAGCACCTTTACATAAATAGCCATTGGGTTTCACTATTTACTTTCTTAGCCATTATATATAGATTATATACTGATTATACACATATTATAAATGAATTATAATTGAAATAGAGGCCAACTTCTTCATTATCGCTTTCATGTGTGAATCAATTGGTGCAAATATGGAATCTGATATGCTCACAACTCCAGGATTCTGGCTACTTAGCACCGAGAAATGTGCCAACTCGAAACAAGAGTTCAAACTATAGTGCAGAAGTCCTCTAGGGACAACAAACAGAGATTTTCACGGTGCTTGACCTGTGGAAAAGAATTAGGCTCACGAGCAAGCGAAGTACTTAGACATATATAATTAAATTATCAAAAATACATTATTTCTAACGGTTTAAGTTTCTATATGAGATAGTAATTCAATTCAACGTTACATTTAATGGTCGATTCTTGCATGGATGACCGATAAATAATGAAGATGTTCTTGCACGTGATACTGGCAGGACAAGCATCGTAGAGATTTTCAGCGTCTCTTGCCAAGTAAAATTTGGTACATAAGCGCATAAAAATCAGAAATGATGTACCAAATAAGTGTATGGACTCATTGTTTTTGGTATTAGCAGAAGGATTGATTGTATATTCCTAAACCATTTGTTAAGTATATATGCAATGTAAAGCTTTTTTTTGGTAATTAAAGAATTTTATTTACCAATTGTAATATGTACAGCATACAAAAATGAAATCTCAACACGATTTGGACATGAAGCCCCAAATTTGCGTACAACATCATAGCCTATCAACTAGAGGGACCAAACTAACATATTATGCTATGGATAGAAATTAAGTCCTTCTAACTTTCCCTGCAATCGTGATATTTTAACTCCTCTATAAGGTTGGGTGTCCCTCCCTCGAGATAATAACTTGGTTTGTTTGATTCATCCTGAGTTCAGATTAATATTATTTTTCGCTCCATTTTCTAGATAAATAACCCCACTTGAAATATTATAATGCGGGCCATTAGTAGTACTATTAATAGTCATGGACCAAGTATGGCCTTTCTCCTTTTCTTCTCCTAATTTCTTGCGTTATACTAATTTCAAGTATTAGTGAAGTGGCTAGTTTTTCATATTGTCAAATGTTGGCTACGTTTAAATAGCACCATTAAGGTTTAAAAGTGGCTACCTAATGTCATTTATACAGCAAAACAAATTATATGGGCTTGGATCATTAACGTAGCGTCTCATTTAAGGTCCAACATTGTTAACATTTTTATGATTTATTTCTAGGAGTTTTTTACATGCTTGATCCTTTTTTAACTATTATTTATAAAAATAGCACCATTTATTGTTTATTCCATAAAGAGCACTTTTTTTTCATTAATGGCACATTATAAAAATTAAGCTCAACATCTAATAAGTTAACTCACTCACTAATCACGGGAAGTACTTTTTTTTTTTGTCCATCTTCATTTTCCCTTTACAGCATTCATCTTCTTCACTCCATATTTTGAAAAGCTGCTGCATATCTCAATGCCACCTAAATCAAGATGTATTGATTTATACATCTTTTATACTCTGTATATCAGGTATCACTTTAATTCAANGTATTTATAGTTTTGAAAACGAGTAGAAAACAAGGTAACAAATACAGTTTCAACACAAACATGGAAATAATCACAGTCAAAATCAATTAACACAGGTTTTCCCTTTAATCAAGGGATTACTGCTCAACGGGCACTTAACAGGATTAATATAAGGAAAGAAAGTCAATTTGTAAGCAGAATGATTGTTGCCATAAAAGGAGTGGTAAAACCATATAGTAGGGGATTAAGTCTAAATACAGGAGTGTACTTATTTTGGAAAGGATCTGGTAAGGCCAAAAAAAGAAGGAGAATCAATTAACCCTTAACGTAAGAGAAAAACTTAAGAAAGATAACTAAAAATAAAATGAATGGAACAAATTTAAAAAATATATTGGCTTCGGTAGAAAACAAAACTAAGAAGATGAAGAAAAAGAAGGAAAGCTAATAGATAAAGAGAGAAAAAAAGACATGATTTTTGTACAAATAATTATTAACTTTCCATTCAAATTTCTTATGTTTAGGGATTAGTAATTAATATTTCTATTTTAATGGAACTGTGTGCTACAAATATAAATATTTTCCTGCCATATCTGTAATATTGAATTTAATGCTAAAAATTTGCAATATTTCTTTTAAACTGTGACAGTCTGGTATATGAGAGGCATTTGCATATACTCAGCTTTGGGTCACCATTGAACTTATACTAAACGTAGACACTGAAATTTTAACAAATCAAGATAAATCCTAAATTCAAGACAACTCTTGAAATATTATGAGTCTATTAGGGTTACTTGGTGGCTACTCTACCCAAACCCTAATTCATGCCTATAAATAAGGCTACATGTGTACTTCAAAAAGGATCTTCGCAATTCTATATATTCTCGAAATATGCACAAAGAGATCAAATATGAGATCTCCGAAATTCCATAAAACTCTTGGAATATTCATTAAGAGATCAAAGGCATGTCAAATATGTCTTGACGAAAGAATCAAGGGATAAACAAGTTGTAACCTACAATGTTTATCAGTAAAATCCTTTTTTCTTTATAGTTGTTTGTGATTGCAATTTTATTATTCTCTGCATAAATTAGTTGCAAACAAATTCTGGCACGCCCAGTGGGACCAGTTCTGCCCTTCATCTCTTCCTCCTGCAAATCAAAAACTTTAAGTTTCAAGATTATCTATTGTGATGGTCGGGTACTTCAAGTCTCGTCTTCAAGTTTCAGCAAGCCTACACCTCGACAAACCTTGAAGTAGGGGGCATTTGTAAACACTGAAATTTTAACAGATCAATATAAATCCTAAATTCAAGACAACTCTTGAAATATTAGGAGTCTATTAGGGTTACTTGGTGGCAACTCTACCCAAATCCTAATTCATGCCTATAAATAAGGCTACATGTGTACTTAAAAAAGGATCTTGGCAATTCCATAAATTCTCGAAATATGCACAAAGAGATCAAATATGAGATCTTCGAAATTCCATAAAACTCTTGGAATATTCATTAAGAGATCAAAGACATGTCAAATATGTCTTGACGGAAGAATCAAGGGATAAACAGAGTTGTAACTTACAATATTTATCAATAAAATCCTTTTATCTTTATAGTTGTTTGTGATTGCAGTTTTATTATTCTCTGTATAAATTAGCTGCAAACAAATTTGCCAGAATTGGTAGACAATAAATTTGCGTCGAGAAAGTAAAATCAAGACCGAAAAATATCGCAACAATCGTAGTATTTGATTTCGATTATTTGAGTGTATAATCTCTATGAATCCTCTGATTCTTCTTTCAAATAGTAAATAAATTCAAGGGCCTTCGAGCTTGATCTTGAATCTATATCCACAAACGATGATCTTGAATTCAATTAGCACGAACTTTGATTCGAACTCGTACTCCTTGAATCTTGACTTGTTTTTCGTTCTTGAGGTTGAACTTAATATCTTGAGCTTAAGTTGTTCGTTCTTGAGCTTGAACTTGATTTCTGAACTTGAACTTGACTGCTTGAAGCGTGAAACTTGTAGAGAAATTTTCGGCGTTTGATCCACGAGCTCTCACTTGCTTCTTGTTATAACTTCTGATGTTTTCTCTAGATTATGAAGACCCCTATTTATAGTTGTGAGAGGGAAGAGTTGTGATGAGAACAAACTCTTTCCGACCAATCAGATTGAAGAGTGACAAGGTGGCGTGATTTTATTGGCCTTTTAATTTGACTTGGCATGCCTTGTCATTTTGACATGTGGAATAATCCCATTGGCTCTTCTGTTTGACTTAGCGTGCCACATCATTTCACGCGTGGCACCAAACTGGGCCTCTAAGAAGATGATATCTTGGGCCTAATGAAGTGGGCTAATCACTTTAGCTCAATTAGATGGGCTAGCCCAATGGATTGAGACTTATTTATTTAATCCATATATATATTGTATTTATATAATTAATTCAATTATATTAGCCCATAATATGTATTTGGCCTAATATATCTTGCATTAAATATAGTCCAAACTATTTAATAAATTTAATTCTAATAAAATTTATATGCCTACACTAACTCTGCACAAAAATTTACAAGTCTACTCGTTCTAGGATCAATTTCAGGCTTGACGTGCAATGCACTTAAGGCCAATTAAGTCTAAAGTGAAAAATTTACACTTAAGATGCACTTAAGGACAAATAGGTCTGAAGTGCAATAAATATTTTCATGTAGTTAAGGTCAAATAGGTCCGAAGTGAAAAAATTACATTTAAGATGAACTTAAGGCCAAATAAGTCTGAAGTGCAACCAATGTTTTCATGCACTTAAGGCCAAATAGGTCTGAAGTGCAAGTTGCCCATAAATAGAACTTTGTTTTTTTATTTCAACATTCAATACACAATTCAACACCTAAATCTACTCCAAATATTCTCAAATTAGAAAAATAACCTCCAAATATCATAAAGAACAAACCACAATCATCAATTTGTCAAACAAACAATAGATCCAACAAACTCATTTGCAATGAAGAAGAAGAAGAAGAAGAAGAAGAAGAAGAAGAAGAAGAAGAAGAAGAAGAAACCCTAAGCAATAGCAAAGAAAGGAGCGCCACGGCAACTCACTATTGTAAAGCACCATAAATCACCTTAAAACCTACTCACAATCACCATGTAAATTCAGCGTCACCTTTGTTTTCACTACGACTAAGAAGAAGAAAGAGGAGGATTCAACACCTAAATCTTCTCCAAATAATTTCAAATTTGAAACATAACCTCCAAAATATCATAAAGAACAAAGCACAATCATCAATTTATCAAACAAACAATAGATCCAACAAACTCATTTTGCAATGAAGAAGAAGAGGAGGAAGAAGAAACCCTAAGCAATAGCA